GTCAATGACATACCTCTCTTTAGGATGCTACTGTTAAGTTGGTAAGCTTGAATACTTAATTTAATTATTTAAAGGAAAAAACTGGCATCCTGCAAAAAAAAAATTAGCCTGCAGAGCACCTTTAAGATCTCTCTCACATCAATAGACTTTACAGTTGCCCAGTTCTAGTAACAGTTGCCCAGTTCTAGAAGCCACCAAAAGGTAGAAATCCTAGATAGATGGAAACTTGGGAATCATAACAACTGGACTGCGCACACACCCACCCACACACTCACATTCTGAATGGCATTCCAGATTTTTTAAAAGAAAGATAGAACTTGAGCAGTGACTCACAAAATCTCATACCCTTCTACAAGTTCTGTTAGTTTTTGAGATGTTACTGACTCCAAGGGAGGTCGCCTTATAGACCCTGTTCTGAAACTATACAAGAGTAAGGTTATACCCCATCTCTTGTATGGAGTCGAAGTATGGGGATGGAATGATGCCGTCTTGGCCAGTCTTAAAGTAGTCCAGAATCATTTTTAAGGTGCATTTTAGCTCTCCCTAAGGGTTCTCCAGCTGCTCTGATGAGAGCTGAAGCGGGTATCCCTTCTCTTAAGGCTCGGGCACACCTTATAATTATTAGATACTGGAAAAGAATGGAAAACTCACAAACTAACTCAGTCACCAATCCTTGACCTGCTGTTAGCCAAAGATTCGCAATGCCGTGATTTCCTTAACAACATTCGTTCAAGATATTCTATCCCCAATGATCTTTTGAGAACATCAATTGATAAAGCCCAACTTAGAAACTAGATTTATGACTTTGATGCCCAAATAGACGGCTCTTTGATATTAAAATCAAAAACAGCACCATGATACAAACTAATTAAATCGGACCATACTAGAACTCCATATCTAGTCAACATATTCAAATATGTACTTAGAGTGTCCTTTACTTCCCAGTTTCAATCAATGCCAACGGCAATTTTGGAGGGCTGCTTTAATCAAACTCCATTGGCACCCATGTACATTGGCATCTATGTATTTGTGGCACCCATGTACTCGAGGACTTACATCATTATATCCTCTTTTGCCCACTGTACTCCAGTCCGAGGGCTAAATTTTTAGCAGGTATTTTATCTTGTCATAGTGTATACCCAGTTGAGGATCAAATCTCATTTTTGTTATCTGACATTGATGCATATGTTTCTTATAAAGTTTCATTATTTGCCCTTGCTGCAAAGAATATACATTCCAAGGTGGCAATGGGAAGGGGGATTATCTACTGTATTAAATTAGTCACATTTTGTTACTGACTTTCAGTACTTCTGTATATTCTGATATTAGCCTATAACTTGTTCATAATTTTATTTATTTTTATTTAACTTTCAATTTATAGACCGCTCACCCCCTAAGGGCTCTGAGCGGTTTACATTGTACAATTATTAATTACATTACCTTACTAGGGCCACACACACAATGAGGGGAAGGGGCTACCTATCAGGCACCCATGGCAGGGTCTTAGATGTTGTAGTTTCTTACGGAGGTTCTTCAACCGTTCAGTTTGGAGAAATTATTATGCTCTCTGCAACTTGTTGAGGGGTGTTTCTTTCTTTTCTTTTTCTTTTTGTCCTCACTCTTCCTTATCACGAGAGACAAGACATGAAACCCAAAGGAACTTAGAGACTAGAAACATTGTAGTCCTATCACACACAATATGTTTAGAATCGAAAAGAATCATGAACGATTTAGTATTTGAATCAATAAAGAAAGCATTACTTTTATTTCTAAAGTATGTTTGGACCTTCCTACACACAGTGAGAATTGCAGTTTTATCCGATACTAGGTTCCATTGTGAAATAATGTCTTCAGGAATTCACTAAAATCAGTCATACCCAAGCACTGCCAATGCAGCAGTAAGATCAAAATAAAGGTTCTGAAACAGGAATCAAGAAATATTTTAATTTTGCTGTCAAAAATCCTGTGTGTGAATACAGGGAATGAGGAAAAAAATTCTAGCTATAGAAACTCTTTTCACTTCTCTGTGTGATTCTAACACAAGACTCATAATTCTAGGGCATAAGAACAGTCAGGGAACATATTTATTTCTACCTGTAAACCTTCACGGAAGCATCAGTGTAGGTGGTTTAAAGGGCTGACATCCTTCCCTACCTCTTAAGGAAGAAATGGGCCCTGCATACAGATTTAGAGGCAGGGATTTATCTTGGTAATTTCACCCTGAACTTTTGAGTTCTCCGCAACAGGATGATGGGCCATTGCAGACTTGAAAACTGCCCTCAGGAAGCAACCGTAGTGAATGACCTAAAGGGCTGCAAATCAGGCTGAGAGTATTACTGCATGTAGGTGAGGGAATTATTCCTGCTCCGTGCATATCTAGTGATTAACAGAGTTTGTTCAGTTTGAGGCACAGCCAATAACAAAAACCCAAATATTATATATAAGCAGTAAAAGGTAAAGGTTCCCTTGCTCGAAAGCCAGTTGAGTCCGACTCTAGGGTTGCGGTGCTCATCTCCGTTTCAAAGCCAAAGAGCCAGCACTGTCCAAAGACGTTTCCATGGTCATGTGGCCGGCATGACTAAACACCAAGGCTGTTACCTTCCCACTGAAGTGGTCCCTGTTTATCTACTTGCAATTTCTTGCTTTCGAACTGCTAGGTTGGCAGGAGCTGGAACTAGAGATGGGAGCTCACTCCGTCATGCGGCAACTCAGGTCTCGAACTGCTGAACTACTGACCTTCCACAGCCTGCAGTTCAGCGTCTTAACCACTTGAGCCACCACAGCTCCTATATAAGGCATCTTAAAAGTAACACTAATCAATGACAATGCTGAATACTTAAGTTGGGGAAAGTGTCAATGCTGCCATCACCACACTGCAAAGGACACCCCCCCCCCCACACACAGACACACTCAGTTTGTACTTTCCTCCTAATCTCCTGTCTCTCCAAACCAACAGTCAAATTTGTCCTGCAGAATCAGTGCATGACTTTGCATACAAAATGCACCCACTTCTGAGCAGCTGAAGAAATCTGAAACAGGGACGCAATCGTGTCTCTAGGATCTAGCTCCACTGCTATAAACATTTCTTCTGGTGTATGATTGATTCTTTCTGGGCTAGTGTTTCATGTCAGGTCCCTATGAGCATGGCAGAGACAAAGCTAAGGTAATGCATTTCATTGAGCTCAGGTGCATTGACAAGAGTGAATTTTGGGCTGCACAAAGTCGTACCAGCTTGATAAAGAATGCTGCAGATTTAAGAAAATGTGAACAAAATTCACAACCATTCAATAAGCCAAACATCACAGCAAACATCCCCCATGACCTTGCAAAGTAAATGTACCTATTTCTTTGTCAATAATGCTTTGTTAGCACTACAGCTGTGATTTTTTTTTTAACCTTACTTGGTAAGCAAGGTTAAAAAGAACTTTACAGGACACCTATCAAAATAAGAGCCATCCAACCAATCCTTAGTAGAACTAAACCAGCAGATAATTTATAAGGCAGCAGTGATTCATTTCTTGTATGCCTCTGAATATTTCAACAATTTGGTAAGGTTCCTTCCTTCCTCACTGAAAACCTTTTTATTTTATAAAGAAAGAACGAAAAAATTAACAAGAGGAACAGCAGCAGATGTGTTCATCCTTGCAATTCAGATTACACAGGAGTGTAATTTTCTTGCTCTCCCTAATGTAATGATTCAGAGAATATACAAAGCGTACTTAACTTTGCAATTCCCTTACCATCATTAATGGCCACCCTCCCCACCAAAAACTTCCCCAACAGCATACTTATTAACATAATCTTACAGCTGAAATGGTATCAAATTTAGGGAGCTTCCCTAAGGGTATTTGCAGAATGAAGATGTCTTCAGCACACCTGACATCTGTCAACCACTTGGGAATAGCCCTGAACCCCCTGCTAGCACTCCAGAACCAAACAAAGGTTAGTGAAAAGGAGGGCCAATATTAAAACCTTTCCATAAAAAAGGCACATGTATTTATTGATAATAACAAATTTTAAAACATATATAGGGGCCCAATTACAACCAATGTATATAAAACATAACAATATCAAGGGCTTAAAAAGTTGACCTTACGCATTTCGGCCAAAAAGGCCTTCCTCAGAGGTCATACATATGTGGCAAGATGGTTAATAATTATAGTCACATAGACACAATCAGAAATATATACACAGTATAGATTCAATAAGGACCATAAAGTAAATTGTTCAGAAGTAAAATCACCAGACACAGGATAAATATGCACATAAGACCTTTAAAGTGCAATCACTAGCCCAGTGATTATAAAATAAACTTATGGTCCAAAAATTTCCTTCTTTGATTGTGTTCCCACAGTATTCACAAGTAAAAAGCAGTGTGTTAGGTTCAGTTTTTTCCCCTTCTTGTTTCTGTCCCCCTGCTAGCACTAACATTGGGCCAGGGGTTTTATGGATCAGTGTAACTGCTACTTTCCAAACATAGCACAAAACCCACATAACATTGAACTCATTTTTGTCTGTGTACTGCTCTTCTAGTTTCATGCTACATTGTTGATTGAGAAGACCAAGAACCTGTTACCAGAAATCTCTTACAGTGGCTACAGACAACCATTTTGTTACATATTTAGCCCTGCACCTGACTTGTGCGGTTAATAAAATGACCTTTTAAGGTTAATAGTATGACCCAGCTGTCCCTAGTTTACCCTGGCATAGTTTACTTGGTTGTCTGCTATCTCACACCGCTGGAAATCGGAAATCTGAGTTATGTAGCCCTGCCCATGTACACAGTATTTAGCAATAATGCATGCAAAGATAAAATGAATAGAACTGATATAATCTAAGTTCTCTAATGACCAGCCTACTATTTTGTACCAGATATCACTTCAATAACCAGTTAAAGAACTTGGATGTTCAAGATAAGTAACTTCTACAACCTGGTGAAACTACCCCACTCCCAGTAACACCAGAAAAGCATATGTGTATATGAACAAATGCTCACTTACTGTTGGTTGCATAACATATGACGGATGAGGCATCCATGAAGTACTCTGAACCTGTATATCAGAAAGCACCATATTAGCATAACAGTGTGCTGAACAACAACAACTGAGCTTTGAATAAAACATAGAGCAGACTGAGCCCTTGATGCTCCGCTTCAGAAAACGTCTCTGTCCTAATTTCACATGTCAATAAAGTTGAAGAGCTTGGTTAGATTCCCTCCCAAGTGCAGGCTTGTAAACTTTAATGGCAGAACCCCACTCAGGACTTGAAAGGCAAGTCTGTACAAGAGCCTTGTTCCTGTGGTTTGGATGCAACCCCGCAAACCCCACAGCAGCAGTGCTGACCAGCACACAGGTCTATATCAGCCTACCCGGAAGAGAAAGGAAGTTGCAGAGTTGATGTCAGTGGCAGTCCGCACAGAGAAACAGTACATAAACTCAGCCCTGAACAAATAATCAATGCTGCATACTGTGACTAATGAGAAGAATGTGACACGTCTTGTTTAATCATTAGGATAAGGGTAAGTCCATACCAGAAAGGATGGCATGATCTGGGGTCCTCAAGCTGCTCAACTCACGGCTCCAACATTCCTTTCTTATGAGAGGGCATAGCTGCTCATTAGCTTACTGACAGAGGCCCAGCTGACTCTTTATCACCTTTAATAAAAATCAGTGTTGGCTCAGTAGAAGGAACTGGCCTGAGGCTGCCTCTCTGTTCCACCAGCAAGCCACCAACATACTGTCCTGCATTTCCCCCCACCCCGAGTGATGGAGCAGCTAATGATTCTTCCTTCCTTGTTCCCAGGCATCTTGAATCACAATATGACAAACTGTACATGCCCAATAAGGTTTTCCACAGTGTTGCAAAGCATGAAAATCTGGAGAAAGTTTTGGAAGCTCTATTGGACATTTATGCCAATGCATTGTGTTTTAAGATGTCTGCAGAATGAGGACAGAGGGAGTGTTAGTTGCTCTGGTTCTTAGGCAGCAGGGGAGCAGGGGCAAGAGGAGGCAGGGGTGAGGAGCAGGCAGAAGCTGGGGCCAGGGCTATTTTTGGGCAGGAACGCACAGGAACGGAGTTCCAGCTGGCTCCTGAGTTGGCCACGCCCAGCAGGAACTCATTAGCATAATAGGCCACACCTAACAGCAGACACTCATTAGGATTGGCTACATTAGGGGTGTGTGGCCTAACATGCAAAGAAGTTCCTGCTACAAAAAAAGCCCAGGGTTTTGACAACAAAGTAAACAGAATAAGAAGCAAAAGGTGGGTGTGGTTGGATGACCACACTTCTGGTAACATGTGGGGTGTGGCCTAATATGCTAATGAGCTGTGCTGTTAGGGGTGTGGCCTAATATGCTAATATATTTCTGCTGTTGGCTGTGGCCTAATATGCTAATGAGTTCATGCTGGGCTTTTTCTACAAAAAAAAAAAGCCCTGGCTGGGGCAATATAAGGGCAGCAAGATGTGAAGGCAAGATAGTGGTGGTGGAGGAAAGGGCAGTTCCCCTCCCCATTTCATCACCTGAGGCTACTGCCCTACCTTGCCTTATTATAAAGCCAGCCTGACTGAAGTGGTGTATTGCAATGGAAGGTGGCATATTGCAATGGAAGGAATTTTTCTGGCATTGGCAGTTATCCTGGTTCAGAGCACATGAGTCAAGTTTCAAGTTAGTTTCTCTTGCAGGAAAAGTTCAATCAGCTAAGAAGATAATAGTTAGCAAAGACTCTTAATTGATTAGCAAGCTCTTGAGTAAGACATGTACACACCCAGAATGCATCATACCATCTTTAAATTAACTTTGTTAAAAACAGAGAAGTGTCCCAGTGGCCTAATATTATTAACTGTTTTCCAAGAAATATTTCAGTTTTTTAACCAGTAATTTCATTGCCCCTATATAAGAATATTGCTTTTGCAAAAACATCTAGAATAATACCTCTTACAATGAAAGTAAGATCTTCACTCCCTGATGCACCCTCCAGACTTCCAGTATACGGTACACTTTTCAAGCAAAATTAGAGACTTTTGGCTTTAGACCAGGCTATGGACAACAAAGCCAGGAGGTCACATGCAAGATCGAGAGATCATCTGCACTTAGCTCCAAGATGATATAGATCCAGATTCATACTTCACATGTGGCAGCTTTTTAGCTTTTCTCTCAAAAGAGCTCCAACAACAATTAAGATCCAGTCCTAGGCTACTTGCAGCTATTCCATTCCATGCCTTTAAAGAGTTGACCACACACACATCAGAGAATATTACAGACACTCCCACAAATGTCATTCACAACCATTACAAAAGGTTGGGAGGGGCTGTGACTTAGTGGGAGAGCATCTGCTTGGCAGGCAGAAGGCCCCAGGTTCAATCCCTGGCATCTCCAGTTGAAAGGATCAGGTAGGAGGTGATGTGAAAGACCTCGGGCTGAGACCCTGGAGAGCCGCTGCCAGTCTGAGGAGACAATACTGACGGTGATGGAGCAAGGGTCTGATTCAGTATAAGGCAGCTTCATGTGTTCATGTGGCAGTAAACAAATTGTTGGCAATGCAAGCTGTGCTTTCATTAGCTGTTTGAATAAGTAGATAGAGTCTTGTTCCTGAGCCAGTCTGGTGTAGTGGTTAAGAGTGCAGACTCTAATCTGGGAGAACCGGCTTTGATTCCCCACTCCTCTACATGCAGCTGCTGGTGTGACCTTGGATCAGTCATAAATTCTTTCAGAGCTGTTCTCTCTAAATTATCTTGTAATTATATGTAATGTATTTTATAGTTGTTGTTTGTATGTTTGGCTTAAGACCTCGGGCCAATGAAGCTAATAAATGAAATGGAAATGGAGAGCTGTTCTCTCAAGGGCAGTTTCTGAGAGAGCTCTCTCAGCCCCACATACCTCACAGGGTGTCTGTTGTGCGGAGGGAAAGGGATCGCAAGCTGCTCTGAGACTCCTTTGGCTAGGGTATAAATCCAATCTCCTCCTCCTCCTCATTTCACTATTAAAGTTTATTGTGATTATTTCCATTACCAACTAAATTTCTAGTCACTGCATTCTTGGAAGACATTTTAGATTTTTCTTATAATTTCACAGCATTCAAATCTTCCTATAATTCTGAATTAGTAACGACAAGGAAGAATGGCACGATTGAATACAATCACAGTTGTGGTTATAATATGTAATTAAAACTGAAGTTAATCAAAATTAAAATATAATTCTTTATATCCAAGAGTTCAGAAGGATGCTTAGAGAAAGTTGTCTTTTCTTCTTCTTATTGCAAGTCTTGTTGAATTAAGTTTAGGGCCAGAGGTTATCCAGCACCTTGTCGGTATGCAGTCTCAGACTTTATTATACATAATAACTTGATTATCCAATGAGCAAACACTCTCAGATGGTCATAAAGCTTTGCTGGTAATCACTATGAACTACACCGTTTATTTCAACAGGCCCAATCCTTTTCAAGAACACAGTTTTTGCTGCTCTGATTCCTTCCATCTCATTTTCATACTATATAAACTTCAAATCAGCAAATGCTTTAATTTACTTTTTGCCTAACTTCCTAACAATAAATTAGAAGCCATGTGGGATGGATCTGGCCAGCTTTTTCACTCAATCCTGTACAATTCCTGTCCTTAGTAAAGCCTTTGTCCCATATGACTTCTGTCTAGGGTTGCCAGCTCTGGGTTGGGAAATACCTGTTTCCTTTCAGCATCCTCTGGCTCTCACTACCCAGCAGATGCTGAAGGAAACACAAGATTAACCCTGAGTAGGCTTAGAGCATTGGCTCCACGTATAAAAAAGCAATCTGACGAAGCATTAGGGGAAACAGAATATGTACCCAGGAAATCCGTTGTCGCATGGCAATTGTCTGGAAGCAGCAGCAGCACTGCATGATGCAAAATAAAGGAACAAAAGAAGAAGCAAGTTTGTGGACTGTAATGGGAACAGAATCAATTTTTTTCGCAGTGAATATTGGTGGGGTGCAACCTTCGGTTAGTCACTGTGGTTCATTTGTGGCTTGAACCACTTGGATGCTGGCAACCCTACTTCTGTCCCATGATCCCAGAATGCCCTTTTCTGTTGATCGAAAAAAAAGGGGGGGAGGCTTCCATTTTCACAAGCAGAAAAGCTGATTGGGGCCAACCTTTTTTGTCCATTTGTTCCTGCCCCAGTTCTTCTCTTGCTGACACATTCGTTTATACAAGACCTTCCCTAATCGCTCTCTCTTCCTTTCCTCTTCTTCTTTATTTCTTTGTTCTTTCATGTCCTTGCAATATCATCCAATGTTCCTTCACAATAAAGAATTGCAGACAGAGTCTAAAACATCAGAAATCTCTGAGGAAACATCAACTATTATCGCCTTCCTCCTGATCTGTCATGTCTAAATTCTCAGCATATCTTCAACTCTTGCAATTTCTCTGTGATGACTGAACCTGAATCAAATCAACCATTTCCCCCACCCCCAACACTTCTTGCAACAAGTATCTTTCAAATGACTTTTTTATTCCATATCAGTTTTTCTTGCCATTTGAGATATCATCCTACTTTGGTCCAAGTAAGTACATACTTGGATATACTCAATTGTCTCTGTAACCTTGCCCTTTGCATATGCATTAGTCAGGGGTATTTGATTTGATTTTGTAAGCAGCCAGGAAAAGTTGCCTGGCACGCACATCAAGAGAATCAGAATACAATTCAGCAAAGGGCTTCTTTCCCTCTTTTGTTCAAAACAGTTTTTGTCAAATGTGTCTGTTTAGGGCAGAAGTGAAAGTAATGTAGATTTATCACAGGGGTACAGAATGGCTGATCAAGAAAGCATACTGCAGGATACATTATTTATTTATTTGTTTGTTTCATTTAAAACATTTATTAGACGCCTTTCTTCCTTATGGAGCTCAAGGTAGCTACGGTATAGATTAAAAAACACATAAAATACATTAAAACATAAAAAACAATTTAGGTCCCGGTCACACGGGCCAGATATCGCGGGGGGGGGAGGCGTGGCTGTTTGCCCCGCAGCAAAATAACACGCGACTGCGCGACCAGGCATCCCCTCACGGTCCCGTGGTTAGGGGGGAGGTGCCGATCACACGACACGCCAAAGAAGCAGCGCGGCACGGCAAACGGGTTTGTGTCTCTGTTTTTTAACCTGAAGTATGCGCATGCCCCATTGGGTGCCTGTGCGCATCCCTGCAGACTTCGGGGGGAAAAAAACCTTTTCGCAATGGGGCATGGGCGGGCGCCGGATGCCACCGGAAACACGATGAGACGCCTGCCCTTGCCCCGCGGTTTCCGGAAACTAGTACCTCCAAGGGACTAGTTTTTTACCGCGCGTCTTTGGCAGGAAGCCTCGGGTGAGCCACGGGAGCTTTACGCTTCCCAGATGTGGCGGTGAGATCATGCCAGGAAAATCCACCTATCTTCCGTCCCTCTAGCGTGGCTAATGCTCCATGTGACCGGGGCCTTAAAATCACAAATCAGGACTGCTAATAACCAATTGCTGTCCTAAATAAAACTGTCTTCAACTGCCTCCTGAAGATTGACAGTGAGGGGGGGGGGTCAGGCGCACATCCCTGGGGAAATTTCTCCATAATTGTGAGGCTGCCACTGAAAAGGTCCTCTCCTGTGCACCAACCAAACAAATTTCTTTGATTGCTGCCAGAGTCAGAAGGGCCTCCCCCTGTGATCTCAATTCCCCACGGACATCATCATTATGATAGGACAGGGCAGACAGACGATTGCTTTTATACATACAGAAGAGTAGACGTAGAGTAGTGACTGACAAAACAAGAGGATGCTTAGAAAACTGGGTGTTTATCAAAAAATAACCTATGATATGATCAGAAATCTTAAATTTACATTGTCTCCTATAGTCCTGGTTAATTTTCATGTAGCAGTAAGAACCCAAAAAATGAAAATGAACTCTTTTTGTATTTCTTTCTTTTTAAGTACTCGAGGGTACACATTTATTGTTTTCCTATATTCCTAAACACAGACATACACAACTGCAACAAGCAACATATAACCAAGAGACTAATTACAATTTGTTACTATACCTAATCCATCGCTTCATTATTCTCTAATATTTGTTAATATTCTCTAATTTCACTATTATATATTACTACATACTCAAATATTATCTTTGCCATATCAGCTTAATCTTTAACTCCATTCACATTATACCAATCATATAGTCTCTTCCAGGTTTTTTGAAAGCCGCTAGCAGATTTTCAGTGAAAATTGGTGATTTTTTCATGAAAATTTATTCATATGAAATACAAAAAACTCTTTTTGTATTTTATATGAATAAATTTTCATGAAAAAACCCACCAATTTTCACTGAAAATCTGCTAGCGGCTTGTTTTAAACACAGAACTTCACATCAGTAATGACCTGCACAAATTAGGCATTGGTACAGTAATGATATGTGCTGACAACAGAAAGTTTAAACACATCAGTACTGCAAAAAGTCGCTTATAATCATGTAGTACAGGGTCACTGCTTTAAGTCATACTTTTGTTATGTAAGCTGCAATGTAAGTATAAGCGTAATGAAATCTAACTTACTAAAGAGAAATTTAAAAGTACTGTCATTGGACGAAAAGTACAAGCTCTGAACAAACATTTAATGTACGATAGTAACAAAACAAGCATTCATGACAAATTCTACTCATAATGAAACAAAAGCAAAAAAGCTTTCTAAATTTGATAAACATCAGATTATACCAACTGAAAAGATGCGTGTGCTGAAAAGCTGATGGAAAAATGCATGATAACTAATAACTACTGTTGCTTAGAGGAGACTCAAGCCCAGGAAACACTGGAAACCTTGTATTACCAAAGCAGGTACAAAGCCAAACTGAGCAGCTAGGCACCATTTTTTTCTCTTTTGTTAATATGGAAATCATAAACATTGAGTTAGGGATATATGAGGCACATGCAATTCCAACATACCTGATATGTGGAGACAGGGGAAGCAGCAATGAATGGCGTGATAGATGTCTGTGGGATCATGCGGTTTGTTGCAATACTGTACGGTGAGGAATAAAATCTGCAAACAGAAAAACAAAAGGAAAATTCTTGAGATGATGGACTGGCATGCTACAAGGAGCTGTTTCACAGCTATTATCAGTGCAAAACAAAATGGGAACACTTGTGAATTAATTATGGTCAGGTCTTTCCAAAATGGTCTCTCTTAATTTTTACATCTGGTGGTTCTTTGGATCCTGGCTTGAATACTGGGACAGTAACAAAAACATATAAATACATTAAAAATTTCAGTTCTATTTCTTCGGCTTCTGGTAGCCTCAAGGGCAAACAAACACCAGGTAAAATCTATATTCCAAACGGAATAGAACTAACAGCTATAAACCCTGGTTCCTATCAAGCTCAGACTTGAAAATTACTGCAGTACAGTTTAGGAGCTGAAATTTTCAAGTCTGTTATAAAACAGTATTTTTATAGGCTGTGATAGTGATTCTCAGATAATATAGTCTCTTTGTAGTCAGATGATATATAGAGTCCCTTTGAACAAAAGCAAGGGACATGAAGGTTTACTGATGAAGGTTAAAGCAGGATTACAGCTGAACATCCAGCAGACAAAAGAAATGACTACTGGGGGGATTACATAGCACAAGGCTGACAACGAAGACATTAAAATAGTTAATGATGCTCTGTTCCTTGGCTCAATCATCAACCAAAAGGAAGACTGCAACCAAGAAACCAGAAGGAGATTGAGACGGGGAAGGGCAGCCATGAAGCATCTAGAAAAGACCCTTAAGGATGAGTCGCTGGCAACCAAGATAATCCATACTATGGTATTCTCCATTAGTATGTATGAATGTGAAAGTTGGACAATGAAGAGAGCTCACAGAAAGAAAAGAAAAATGGAAGCTAAAATGACCAAACTGAATACTTTGGTCACATTATGAGACAAGAAGAGTCATTGGAAAAGACAATAATGCTAGGAAAAGTTGAAGGCAGCAGGGAAAGATGGAAGGCCCAACATGAGATGGACTAATTCAATCAAGGAAGACACAGCACTCAGTTTGCAAGACCTGAGCAGGGCTGTTAACAATAGGACATTTTGGAGGTCATTAATTCATAGGGTCTGTATAAATTGGAAGCAATTTCACAGCAGTTAACAGACATGCTAGGAACATGTATTATGAAAACATGATAAAAAATGCAAGCAGAATATACCCTAACTTTATGAATTTTGGATAACTAAAACCACCCAAGATTCTTGGACCATTCCTTACAAAGGAAAATAAGATTATGTTCTCTCCCCCGTTAACCCCATTAAAAATACAGGATCAATGACAGGACTGGAATAAAATGAAACAGAAAGAAACTCTGCCTGATAAGGTTGCTAACTTTGGCTTGGGAAATTTCTAGAGATTTTGGGGCAGTGCCTAGGGAGGACTACTGCCTGACCCATATGGATCCCGGCCCCCCCGTCCAGAAGGAGACTCCCTTGGTTTGGAGTGGGCTTCTCCACCACCAGCCAGCTGGCCAGTGGGGGGGAAATCCCACCCCAAATGACATTTTTGGGCCATTTTCGGTAAAACCAGAGGTGCCACCCCGAATGTGATGACGTCAACTGGGAGTGATATCATCATGCCAGAAATGTTTCATGGGAATGCTCTGGTATTTGGACAAACTCTATGGTTTTGAGGGCAAAAAAACAGAGTTTTGCCTAAATACCAGAACATCCTCACATGACACTTCTGGCGCAATGATGTCACTTGCAGGTGATGTCATTGTCAAGGTTTCTCTCTCTCACCCCAGTCCAGGGATGGGGAGAGAAACCAGGAACAATTAAACAAACGCCAGGAGAATGTCTGTACACGCTCCAGGCTTTATCGGTAGTCTGCCACCAGGATCTCTCTTTAACCAGTTCCACGCCAAAGCTCAGGAGCAGAGATCCCAAACTCCTTCTTGCTTTATTGGACTGACCCACTTTACCAGCTCTGCACCAGGGCTGCAAACAATAAAGTACCACAGTGGTAGCCTCCTTAGGCGAACGGCTTTAGACACAAGATTCAGTCTTAGAGATCAGGTTGCAACAGAGGAAACAGGTCCAGATAATATTGATTATATATTATCTTTATTCAGTGCACAAGCATGCATATAACATGAGACTAGCAAAAGATAAGAAACAAAAGATATCTATAGCTTGTTCAGCTCTAGCTATACGATAGAGGTAGTTCATAGTTACCAGGCTGGTGTGCAAATAGTCCAAGGTCTCACCAGGGAATCTTGAAGAGAAACCCCATAGTTTTGTGGGCAGCTAGTCCAGCTTGGCTGCCTAACAGTCTCACTCCATGTTAACAGCAAACAGTCAATCCAAAAGAACCCTTTGTTTCCAGAGAAGAATTCCCTTAACTCTCCTTACTCCTCTGTTTCCCATATGGATAACTGCAGATATACCCCCCCCCCATCACCACCAGGTATGGCCATTTACCCAATAGTGAGAGAGTGGGAAGGTGTTCCAATCTCTGGTTACCATGCGTTTTCAGGCAAGGTATGTTTTGATTGGCTCAGAGTTGGGCATCCCACTCCAGGCTCTTCTATTGACCATATGTCATGTCAGGGAATGCTTTTGATGTGCTAATGTATGTCAGCAAGCTGCCATAGGGTGGTGTGTTTTTTTCTACATGTTACATTGTACTCGATCCATCCCCCCCTGTATCTCCCTGTGTAGGTGTTTACTTTCTTTTGCTTGCTACATCTGCGGAACTGCTCAAGGTCATCCAGCTGGAGGTGGGATGGAGTTATGGCGTTGCTTGGCTTATTATGTATCTCATGCCTGAGAACTGAACTTGTGTTTATGTTGTAGAACCGTTGTGTTCCCAAGGAATTGGGCACCAGTTTTATCTGCATTCCCGCCAGCGGGAATTGGACTCATTGGTCCTAACCTGGTTCAAGTTCCTTTATTATGTTTCCCTATGGGGTCTGTAGTCATTCCTAACAATTCATGTGTTCCTGAGCTAACCATCGCTTTATAATAAATTTAACTTTGATCTTCAAACGTGGATTTATTTCGAATGCATGGGGAATCGGACAATGTACTGGGCATAGCTAGTCCCATGCTTGGGAAGGCGCTGGCAAGTCGCTCTCTCTTGGCAGAGGTATCAAAGTGTCTTGTATATGGAGATGCGGCCTGGCCATCTGGCAAGCCATTTGCACAGGTGACAAGAATCACACGGTAGTGTTACCAGCTAGGGCCATCTGGCCCAAGCAGGGAGGATTTTAGAAAAGCCTTTTTCTATACAGTCATCACGTTGGGGACATCACACAACATCCACCCACCTCCCAGAATGCTCCGCAAAGCCCCCCAGTGGCAGAGGTAAGGAACCTGGCAACCCTACTGACCCACCACTGTGTTTTGAGGGCTCTCATCCCAAACAGGAGAAGAAGCTGACCTAGTTCCATTACTGTGGAGAAGAGGATTATTTGGCTTTTCCTCTGCAAAGGAGGACTGGATATTTCAGAAGGAATTATAACCAGGACAGTGGTGACTGACAACCAAAAAGAACAATCTGATGAACTCCGCTTGTGATCACACAAATCATAAGCCACAAATGTGTGGACTTATGGAATGAATACTTAACATAAATTACTGTTGTGTAACAGAATGAACTCATTTGTGATTTACTGACATATTGACTATTGAACTGAATTGAATGATTTAAAATTAGAGCCTTGGGGAGCACTGGAGAAGCAAGTTACTGGATTACTGGAGAAGCAAAATTATAAAAATATGTATGAGAAATAAAGGAATAGTGTAAAAAATTTGTCGGTTAACTGAAATTAGAAATGAAGTTAACTGAAGTTAGAAACCTAGAGAAGTTTATGACAAAATAACTGCTCAAGAACTCTGCATAGAACAGAATACACAGAAAGATATTGTTACCAAGCTGAGAGCAAGAGCTGAAGAATTACATCAGAAGTCAGAAAATACAATCAGAAGCTCAGAGGAATTCCTGAGGAGATCAAATATTAAAATTGAGTACTACTTGGAAAGACCACTTTTCAATAGTTTTGGGCTTGGAGCCCAAACATGAAAGAAGAGAGTGAATTCAAGGACTATCTGTAAATATGTAAGAATCAGATACAGAAGAAAATTGCTTAACTGAAGAGGGAGAAGGTAGAAGTTATCTTAATATTTAAAGAGGGATGCAACATTATGACCTTTATTCAAAGGTGCAAACTGACTAATTAAAGATGATTTACATATGTCAGTTGAACTGTGCATTATTGATAAAAATTTCAGATATATTTTAATATGAGCAAGAATCAATATATCTGATTCTTAATGTGGCCAAATCTGTGGATACTTAAATCCAGAGACTGAACCTATGTACAGACAGGACAGATCTTTCTACAAACCTGAAAAACAGAAACATCTGAAATTAAAAACAAAACACAATAACAAACATTTGAGGTTAACTGTCACCCCAAATAATAGAAGCAGCACTTACATTTTTAAGAAATGAATGCCCTCAGTGGTTGTTGCTAGGGAACCATAACAATATTACCAGATGTCAAGCCTTGGTTTTTGTCAGTAAAAGGCAGAGGGAGTAGCAGAGCACTTTCCAGGGTTGTTTGGGCCTTTAATGGAGGACTCTTCAGCAGTGTTCCCTCTAAGCTGAGTTAGTGTGAGTTAGCTCACAGTTTTTAAGCCTCCAGCTCACAGATTTTTGTCTTAACTCAGGAAGGATGGCTCCAGAGCAAACTAATTTATGCAGTAGCCAAATTGCTCACTCACAACTTTAATGCCAGTAGCTCACAAAGTAAAATTTTTGCTCACAAGACTCCATAGCTTAAAGGGAGAATTGCTCTTCAGGGCCAGGCCCAAGAGCAACCACTGGTTGACTTGCTGCCACCCAACTTGCATGATCCTTGGTGCTTGGGGGGGGCAACAGTGGGAGGGCTTCTAATGTCCTGGCCTCACTGGTGGACCTCCTGATGGCACCTGGTATTTTTGGCCACTGTGTGACAGAGTGTTGGACTAGATGGGCCTTTGGCCTGATCCAACATTGGCGT